AAGTACCCCAGAGTGTACGGTCACTTCCATCCTTTAGGAACTACCAGGGCTGGCCCCAAACATTTAGCTGCCTGAGGTACAGCAGCAAATGTGTCCTCTGCTGCTCTTCCCCTCACCCTGAAAGCAAGCATGCATAGTACTGTAGATCAGATTATATTAATTATAGTAGAAAATCTCACAAGTACTTCCCCCCTGCACTGCACTAGAAATACAGCCATAATAAATTATATTACTAGCTTTCTGCTGCCCTTCTATGGTTTAATCTGTTTTCTTCAGCTTCACTCTAATAGTAGTGCCAACCATGGCAACTAATTCTTTCATCATGTTGAGAAAGACTGACATGGCTGCTTCTATGGAAGTCGTTGCTGGATGTACTGGGATATAGTGGATTGTCCACCTGTGAACATACCTGGAATTGATTTGTGATATCTCACTCCCAACACAGATTACCCATGCCTTTTGACTGCTTTCTCCACTTTCTCCCCACCTGCCTTACTGTTCTCTCTCTTCCCTCCTTGTTTTGCCCTTCTATAGGGCATGGATGGGTGGAGACAGAACAACTGAAAAATGCACGTAAGGAAACGTCATCAAATGACACCCAACCACAAAGAGCATGGATTGTTAGAGAACAATGCAGTATCAAAGTGCATGGATTGTTAGAGAACAATGCAGTATTAGTATCTGCACAAGGCAGAGAAAGCAGAACAAATAATCTGGAAAACAATTTTTTTGGAAAAAAATGGCCAAGCTTTACTAAATGTTTGTTTGTGAGCTTTCTGACTATTGTATTCTTATTTTATGGGCTACAAGACAATAATTTTCTCATCATATTTTGTTTTGACTGTCTGAGTTGTAGAAGGCTTGAAAAAGTAGCTTCCTTCAACAAAAGCAAACACTGCAACAATCAAGGAAATATTTTTTTTTACTTTCACCTACTTAAAAAAGTAACTGGCACGGAAGACTTTGCAAAAATGCACCTTTTCTCTCCCTGATTATAAAATAGTTAATGGTTTTCTGAGTGATGCAGGTCAGTAAGGGTGATAGTGGAGCATCTGCCATTCCAGCAAGTGCTAGGGATTTCAGAGCTTCTAAAAGATGAGGACTTGAAAACTTGACCATGCATCTAAATGGTTCTTTATTATACAAGATGCCCTTTAATGTTTACTTCTCAATGCTGTATATTCTGCAAACTCTAATTCTGGCTGGGGACCATCAGCAAAGGTTTCCTGGGTGATTCTCAGGATTTTTTTCCCTTTTAATGTTTATTTTCCTGAATTTTTCTTGGATCTACATTTTCCCAAGTGCTGTTGTTGCTTTTTTTCCTTGTAGAGATGTTGGATTTGCAATCTTGATTAGAGTACAGTTTGGGTTTTCGGGCAAATATTAGTTTCTAGTGAGTTCGGTGTGCCTGTTTCAATTATTATGAAGTCTGGATTCAATCTGTTCAGAATATATTTAAATTAAAACACACATACACATGTATTTATTTAAATTTATTTAAATTTAAACAGATCCTTCTAAGACACACACACACACTCTGTCTCTCTCTGTGTGTGGTGAGAGACTGAGAGATTATATGTACCAACATGTACTGTACCTAAATCAATGGCAAAGTCAGAGTCCCAATATCAAATCAGTAATGAGAAGCAGCAAAAGATGTGTTTCGATTTTGGTGTATTTTAACAACAGGTTTAAAATATTTCACTATAGCAATCAAGACTTTTTTAATATGTTGAACCATTTAACTTCTCATTCATCATCTTCTTTCCAATTAAATTGTAACAGTTTCAGAACTTTTTGAGGCTTTATTCTTTGAGTTGTGTGTATGACTCCATGGAGAGTGAAAAAACATATTACTGAATAAATAGTTTTAGTTTCAACATTCAAACATAACCGAGGAACAAAACATTTCTGATTACCCAGGTAAACATTTTGTACAATTAGAATAATAACAAAAACATGATGCAAGGCAATCAAAATAGTATGCTATGGTCCCTGAATCATAAAAGCAATAGTACTGTAACATACGTAGAAAAAGCCTGCATGCATATGTGTTCAATATACATCAGTCTGTTTCATAATTATATATACTGGACTATACGAAAGCCCTAACCTTAAAACAACATGTTGTACCCCAGACACATCTTATGGTATTTGCATTTGGTCACCAGACAAAGGTATAAAATGTCACCAGATTTATGATGATGGTGATTATGTGTGTACATTACTCCTATGCTCAAACTATCACAGTCACCTTGCAGTCTGAAGGTTGGCTGAAATATTGTTGCTTAGTGTAGTGAGCTATACCTAGAGCAGGCCCAGGTAGTGTGGGCGGCATATAAATTAAATAAATAATAAATGGATCTCATGGAGGAGTTGATTCGCTAAATTCCCACTGATTCAGTGGGCCTGCTCTAGTGCAGTTTACTACAGATTTCAGCCATTGTGGCATAAGTATTTGTGAAATTAAAGTGGCAGTTCTCAGTATCTGGATTCTTTTGGGTCTAGGAAGTGCTTCCACCCACCCTTCCTAACATAATGCTTAAGGAATCTTGTAGACAGTAGACTGGTGACCTAGTGTTTAACTTTTACAATTTTTCTCTTCCCTCCTCATTGCTTTTCCTTTCTGTGTGAGTCTTCTGACTGTAAACATGACAGCAGAGAGTGAAGGCATGTCCAGACTGACATTTATCCCATCGTTTGGTGCACTGCAGGGGTGGATTGGTATGCTCTTTCTTCTGGAAACCACATGACCTAATTGCTGCAGTGGACCAATTTGCTCCCCGAGTGCCCCTGTGAGTGGGTTCTGGTTTTACCTCCCATGGTTCTTTGGTTTTAACCCACAAAAATTGTGAAGATTCATTAGTGTGCATGAACATTTTATTAACCAACAAAGAAGTGTCGCAAGCAATAACTTCTGTAGCGCCAATGGGCTCATCTAACAGGTATCTCCAAGACCAACAGTCTTTCCATTGGTAAAAGAGTTCACCAACAAGGGTTCACCCCCAAACTGCTTGTAGTCTCTTGGTTTCCACATAGGATTCCGCAGCATGGGTATCTTGCCTATTCTCCTTTGGTGGGAGTTGTAGGACGGCTGGTCGGTGCTAGTCGGCTTTCCTTCTTCCAAAGGTCTCTCTTTCTGGGATACACATAAACTATCCATTCTATGGGTTCAGCCCTTTTAATTGTACTGCAATGCCTCCCTTCTCTCTCTGAAGGGGATCTACCCTCACCTTTTCCCCTTTGGTCTCAGGTTGGTTCACCGGACGATACTGCTGTCTCATCTCTATTTCGTCAAGGGAAAGTTTCATCTTAACTTTCTCCCGAGTCCAGGGATCTTCGATCTCCAGCCATCCCCATCCTAGTGGGATATTCTCTTCTCTCCCTCCCTCTTTCTCCTCCTCCTCCTCCTGTTCTATCTCTTTTCCCCAATCCACCTCTCCTTTTATCTCCTCCTCTACCTCAGTTATCAGGTACCCATCTGCTATTGGGAGATTTGTCCCATCTGTTGTTTCCCCATGCTTTTCATCTCCCTTTCTCCCACTCTTTTTCTAGTCCTAGATGAGTCATTATTGGCAATAGGGTATAAACAGTTTTGTAGCCCTCTGCAGCAGACAATTGAGGGATGGCTCACCCTCCTTGAGAATCGTGGCTTGCTCTTTTTTGAGCCTCTATCAGGGGCTTCTACTTTTTTTTTTTTTTTTTTTTATCCTTGAGAATCGTGGCTTGCTCTTTTTGAGCCTCTATCAGGGGCTTCTACTCTTTTTTTGGTGTGGATAAGTGCACTCCAGTTTAGTCCATTTCCAGTGTGTGTGATCACCGGGAACAAACTAAAATTGACCCTTGAAGCTGTCAAAGCTGCAAAGAAACCTTCCAGTTTGAATTTCAGTGTTGAGCTGTTTCAGGATATTAGCAAATTAAACACTTTCCCTGCTCCTCTGTCAAGGGGCTGGGCAAGTGTTTTTTTTTATGTTTTGCATCCACTAGACCATAAGTGATGGATTGAATCACTTAGATTAAATTTGAATATATATTTCTTTCCCTTGTGTGATGTGTCCTGACATGGAGAAACTACCTGTAGCTGTGGTTTCAATCAGCACTTTATACAAGGGAAAGACAATACTGTATTTTTTTATTTTGATCTGATTTAGCACTATGATTTCACTTCCTCTGAAGCAGCTCATTTATTAATCCACTTCACCATACTGGAAATAGGTTTGGTACCACATTTGGACACAAAGCTTGCACCAAACTGCATATCGCTCTTCTCCCAACCTCAATCTTATTTAAACTGCTCCAGCCCACATCAAAAGCAACTCACATCCTGAGTTGCTCAGAGGCCTTTTTGGCTGAAGAACAAGATTTTTTAAAAATGATTTAAAATTTAAAAAATCTGAGGATGTAGGCCCATGTCCACAAAACATCTGCAGGAACAGCATTGCACTCCTGAGTGGATATATTCAAAACTAAGTCTATTTGGGGGGTATAGGAGCAGAAGAAGGGTTGCCCCTAAGTGATCAGGGAGGGATTTAAAATTTACACTCTACTTCTTGACTGAAGAAGCCACTTGGGGATGAGTAGCGAAAACATTTCAACCTAAGAAGAAAGAAGTTAGTTGACAGGACTCAGTTTCCAGATAACCTCGCCTGGATGACTGAGAATCTCCACAGGTATACTTCTTGACGGGCACCGCCAAGGTGGCCTCTGTGAGAGGAAGCTACAACCCACGGTGCCAAGATAACTCCCCCCCTTCCCACAAATATGGCTTTTGGAGTGTTTCTCCACAACCAAGACGCCCATTCGAAAGTATTTTCGGCCTTTAAACTCCGACTGACTCATTGTGCGGCCTCAAGGCCAGCGTGAGGAACTTGGGCGAAAGCAAGCGCCCTCATCGCGAGGCACCCCTTGGCCCTCGAGAGCCCGCCAATGCTCTCCCGGAGGCTGAGGGATGATCCCCTCGCTGCCGCGGCTCCCGCGCCGCCCCTCCTCCTCCCTTCCCCTCATCCCTCCGGTTTCCCTCACAAGCCCGCCGCCGGAATGGCCCGCGCCCCAGTTATTCCGCGCATGCGCCCTGCCCTTTCCGAACAGGGCTGGTGAGGGGGAAAAAAATTTGTTGTGGGAGTTTAAAGGAGAAGACTCGAGCGAGGCGGGAGGAGGAGGAGGAGGAGGTGAGTGGCGACGGAGGGGGCGAATCCGGCACGGGGAGAGCGGGCTCGGGCTTCTTCCCCCCCCCTCCATTGCTCCTCTACTTTACTTTGAATCCGTTTGGGAGGAGGGACGGAGACGGGGGCGAAGGAGGACAGGGAAAAAAAAGTAGTAGTATTTGGCGCCCCCCCTCCGTCCATGATTTTTTCTCTCCCCCCCCCCGGTTCTCCGGCTCGCACCGTTAGGCTGCGCTTTCTCCCGCCATTTTGTGCCACTGAGGAGGGACAGGAGTGTGTTTGGGGGGGGGGTTTCCCGTGAAGTTGTCTTCTGAACCCCTCCACACACACCCCTCATGCTTAGGACGACCGGCCGGCCGATCAATGAGTGGCCAAAGGCGGGCTCCCGCCTCTCGAATCGTCGCTGTGTGTATGTGTTTGTGTGTCTGTGTGAGAGAGAACTGCGCCTCTTTTCTCTTGTCCGGCCAGTTCCCGAAGTTTTGAGGGCGACGACGACCAAGTTCCTTCCTCTCTTCTCCCGCCGCCCTCCCTCCTGTCCCCGGCGCCGAGACCGCAGCATCTCCTCGCTCTTCTTCTCCCGGCGTGCTCGGGGAGGAGGAGGAGGGAGAGGTCCCTGTTCAGGAAGGGCTCCCCTTTTCCCTTCCCACCGTCCCGCTTCTGGAGCCGGACAGCCAGAGGGGGTGGGTGGGTAGCCCCTGATCGTGTTTGGGAGAAGGTGGAGCCCGGAGCAAAAAAAAAAAAGTCCTATGAGGCTTAGAAGTTTAGGGCTGCGGTCCTAGAACGTGTGGCCTTCCCGGATTGTCTGGACTCCAACTCCCATCATGTCTGTCTGGCTCCTGGGGAGAGAGGGTAGGCGTCGCCATCCAGCGGCGCCTTGGAGGGCCACCTGGCCCCTCGCCCCGATGGGCAGGCTTCGTGGAGGACCGAGGGGGCAGCAATATCAACGGGCCTTATTTCTGAGGAGATATGCAGTAGATAGGCAGTGTTGTTGTGGTGGCAAAGGGTTCCACCGAGTGTTATAGTCTGATTCTGCCTGTCTCCCGTGGTGTTTGAATGTGCAAGGGAGGCCAGACCCATTGTGGATACCTGTTCACGATCAAGAAATGGCCCAAACTGCATTTCTTGCCTCTCATGATGCCACTGTTGACAAATTTGTCTTTATACACCAGGAATATAGGAAGCTGAACCCATCAGATTATTAGTTCATAGCTCTGTCAGATTCTTTTTTATTACCATTTACTTCTCTAATTATCTGGGCTCAGATGATTCTGCATGGTGCTATTTTTTGCTACATCAGCACTGGCAATATACTCTGAACATCAAACTAAGGAACAATTATAGGTATAGATTGGGAGGTGAGGATAAAAAAAGTGACCCTGAAATATAAGACACGTGAGCTGTGATGTACATATATCTGAGCTATACATAGTAATTAACTCTACATTGTATTTACACACACAAGTGGGAGAGAATGCTCCAGAGCTCATCAACAGGCTGCCAATAAAGGCCAAAGTTCCATCACCAGCTACTTAGACCTTTTCACTGAATTTGCTAAGTATTAAAATATGGAGCCTTCTGTGTACAAATCCTGTGTTCTGTTGCTGAGCGCTATTGTATTATTTTCCATCTCTGTGTATAAAATGCACATGTTTCAGTAATACACATATACGGGGGGGGGGGGG